TCTACAAATGCACAGGACGCGATTCACAAATAAATGCCAGGCAAAGTTGTGGTTGTGACATAAATATATATTTGTGAATATGTTTTTTTATTTGCAAATCTCATTTGATTTATTTGTGAATTTAATTCATGTTTGTGAAACTTTAAGATTTATTTGTGGATCTCATTCTATTTATTTGTCAATATGTTTAATGTTTGTTAATCTCTTTACATTTATTTATGGATCGTAATCTATTTATTTGGAATTAAGCAACAATTCTATCTCCATAGCTTTTTGACAGGCTCTCAGTGTGAGCGCGCTTCTTGAGTACGCGCTCAGAAAAAGCGCATGCAGAACAGCACGTGAGTTAAATGTTTAACCGGTATTGCTTTAAAGCAGATGGAAATAATGTAGTTTTGTGATTGCGCATAAGTGCAGTGTCCCGTGAGAGTAACTCTACCGCTGAGCTAACACTGATGTGAATGCATGTGGCGTTGTACATTATATTGAGACGGAGGGAGGCGCCAGAACTGCAGCTGATAGAATGTCGCTGTAGCACGATACAACGATATTTCTTCAAAAGCAGATCGTGGAGACATTTTAATCGTCCACGATCAAAAATCGTCATATTGCACACCCCTAACTACCAAGTATAATCAACCTCTCACACACAAACAAGCACAACGAAATCACTACACACTATTAAGCGGCTGTGCTATGAACATGCAAAACTGTATCGCACACGTGCTACAGTGGTAAATTTATTCATCGCACAGACCAGTTTTTTCGTAGCACGTGCGACATATATGTCGCACTGTACAGCCCTGTTATAGAATCTTTTTTACATGGTCTTGAGTAGGCCTAGCCTATTTCGTGTTGATTGTAGTCTATAATATTACAGCTCAACACTGACACCTGTCCCTTCATATTTCTTGCCCGTTGCTGCCAGAGCTACATTTAGCGTGCGTGTATGTGCACGAAACTTGAATGACGACCTCTACTGTGACAAATAGCATCTTTATTGTGTCAGTGTCAGTCAAAAACAAGTGAAAGGTGTATTCTTTAGCGTTATTCATTTAGATCCCAGTCATCACAAACGTGATTATTCGTAATTTAACGAATAACAATAATAACTGATAATTTACAACTAATAATCTATCTATCTATCTATCTAAATTATTTAATATTATTAATATAATAATAATAATAATAATTATTATTATTATTATTAATATTAATATTAAAGCTGGTGTTTTGAATAGAATTCCCAAGCCCAGTGTGTAATTCCTGGAGTTATTACATATAAAATGCATGTCTCTTATTTCACCAGGTCTTCCCATATAAAAGGGAATAAACTCATAGAACTCACTAGAGCATCATTCTCTCAAAATCCACTGTCATGGGACACATCATCCAATCTTTTCAGCTGCACTGCATACCATTGCACACATTCGCCTGTTTCAGGCGGTCTGTAGCGAGCCTTGACACATAGGACACATCAGCCAGCAGCGTCGTCCCGCTGTATGAGCTCCACTGTGCGCAGGAGATGCCTGCCAAGTGCCTTTCCAGTTATAGATGGAGAATTTCCTTCAGCTCACAGACATGTGTATGAAGTCAATCTCCACTTTTACATTGCAATATTTCCCTTATCATAAAAT